GATAAGCTGGGGGTCGTTGGGGCTGACTCGCGCGCACGGTGGAACGGTGGTCGGATGAGTCAGGGAACCCTCACTCGCACTGTAGGCGAGGGGCGGCGGCGGAGAGCGATGTGCGCGTCAGCACCGGGGACTTCCTGTAGGACAGGATAGGAGTAGCCTCTGATAGGATACAGAGAGGTGTAACGACTCGCGGGGTCGCGCTCGTGGAACTCGCTTCTCCAAACTAGAGGGGAAGTGGGCACAGTATCGGCAAGTCACTCTGCGTCGGGGGTGGGGTGGGGTGGGGACGGGGAAAGGAGGGGGTGACGGCGGCGGCGTAGGGATGGCGGTCGCAGGTCGGGAATGTGCGGCGGCGGATCAGGGCCATTCCATTCATCGTGATTGGCAATCATGCAATCACGCAATCACGCGATCACGACATTAATTTAACGTCTTTCTGCAAGTTGGAGCACAAGATTAATTTTAAGTCGATTGTTTATTTCTTTAATGAGCATGACCATTTTTTAGGAAACGTAATATAAACAACCAACCACAAGGGAGCAGCCATCATTTATTGACGTGATTGCGTGATTGCGTGATTGCCAATCACGATGAATGGAATGGCCCTCAGAGGGGAGAATTTGGGGAGGGATTTCGGGATCCCGGGTGCGGCCACATGGAGGCGGGACGAGGGATTATGAAGAAAGCAATGGCTGTGAGCAACGCAATGCTGGTGACGCAGAGCGGCAGGAACAGTTGCACATTCCTTCTGCGGTAGGAATGTTAGTCGCGAGAGGATGTTGGCGCTCAGTTTCCCTGATCGCGCGCAGTGGAGGGAGCGGAGCGGAGGTGATCGAGCGAGGCGAAGTTGCAGGCTACAAAGCCACCGGAGGTCTCCTGTGTTCTTCCCCCCTCCGGATTTCTACCCTCTTTAATTTCCCCTTGTATCAATACCCGGTATTTCCATTAGTATTCGGGGACCGCCAGCGCACCGCCGCGGACACTGTAGGCCGCTTAGGGCTAGCGTTGTCCTCGCTGTACAACTCCACGACACCTTCTGTACTTAAGCGCGTCCGCCCTTCCAAGCTGTCATAGAACAAGGGTCCAAGGCGCAGCCAGCAGTTTGACGCTTCAGAACCGCTGTCGGAACAATGGAAGACAAGCTTCGCCATCTCCTGACGGAGCTCTACAAGGAGACGCCGTGCATGCCGATCGTGGTGCGGTTGGCGTGGCACGACTCGGGGTCGTACTGCGCGCGCACGAAGACGGGGGGAGCCAACGGGACAATCCGGTTCTCGCCGGAGGCGGACTTTGGGGCGAACAACGGGCTCGGGATTGCGCGCAACCTACTAGAGCCGATCAAGAAGGCGGTGCCAGAGGTGTCGTACGCGGATCTGTATCAGCTAGGGTCCGTGGTGGCGATTGAGTTTGCCGGCGGGCCGAAGATCCCGTTCCGGTTCGGGCGGAAGGACCTCCCGCAGGAGAAGTGCTCCCCGGACGGGCGGCTGCCGGACGCGACCAAGAGGATGCCGCACCTGCGCGAGATCTTCTCCCGCATGGGCTTCGACGACAAGGGCATCGTGGTGCTCTCCGGCGCGCACGCGCTGGGCAGGGCCAGGAAGGAGAGGAGCGGGTTCGACGGGCCGTGGACCAGCGACCCGCTCGTGTTTGATAACTCGTACTACCAGGAGATCTTAAAGGAGGACCCCGACCCGAAGCTGCTCAGGCTCGCCAGCGACATGGCGCTGCTGGACGACGCGGAAAACAGAAAGCTGGTCGAGCTGTATGCCGCCGATAAGGACGCGTTCTTCAAGGACTACGTCGAGCAGCACGTGAAGCTGAGCGAGTTGGGCATGATGGCGTAGAAGGGTCTGGATGCCGAAGCGATGCCGAGGAGGTGCTGAAGTCTTCAGCACCTCTTCAGCCTGAAGAGATGCCGAAGAGATGCCGAAGAGATGCTTCCAGAATTCGGTGCCCGTCAACGGATCATACAGCAAATGAGTGTCCGATAGAATAAAGCTCTTAATTTTTGCCGCTTGTCCCGCCTCCTGTTTTCAGACGTCAGCCAATTCCTGCTTCCCAGGAACAGCACGACACCAACCCATTGCCAACCCCCGTCATCCCAACCGCAACACCCTCCCATCCGAAACTCCTCCTGGCCGAAACTCCTGACCGAAACCGTCCGCCCCTCCCACCCCCAGCCTAACCCACCACCTCCGCCGTCCCCCTTCCCTCCCGCCCACCATGCCCTCCCTGCAACCATGTGGCGCCTGCAAGACGCGCGACGCCACCACCGCCGCGTCTCCGCCCACGAGCACCTGCAAGCCCTGCACCGCCACGACCTAACGCGCGAGCGCCACCCGCATCTGCGCCCATCCGCCCCTCTGCGCCGCCCGGCCGCCGCGCCCGTGCGCCGCCTGCTCATCTCGTGGCTGTTCGCGGAGTCGTCCGCGCTGTCGCTGCGCCCCGCCACGCCCGCGCTCGCCGCGTCCTACCTGGACCGCCTGCTGCCGCTGCCGCTGCCGCGCGCCCTGCTTCCGCGCGCCCAGCCGCTCGCCGCCGCGTGCCTGCTACTCGCCGCCAAGCTGGCCGAGGTCGGCGGCGACGCCATCGACGTCCGCCACCGCCTCTCCGTGCGCGTCGCCCTCCCGCTCGAGCTGCTCGCCCTCGACCTGCTCCGCTGGGACCTCGTCGCCCCCACCCCGTACACCTTCCTCGTCTTCTTCGCGCGCCTCGTCTGGCTCCCCGCCACCGCCCGCCCCGCCGCCGCCGCCCACCTCAACCGCGCCCTGCTCTGCACGAAGCACGGACAAGTAACATTCGCAAGAAACAAGGCAACCCTCCACCAACCCATACACCTCCCCCGGCCAATCATGACAGCTACATTCCGCGACGGGCAATACACGCTCGACCAAGACACCACAGCCAAAGGGGCACGCACATACCACCGTAAAACAAACACATTACAAAAACACAATCCCACGCCGCCCCGCGCAACAAACACACCCCAACTGCCTCTACCCGGCAACGCAGCGGCTACCTACCATTGCGCACACAAAAACGACGAGCACCCAACATGCGCACAGCCCCAGCCCCCGCACCAAAATACAAAAAGACAACACAGGCACAAATACAAATGTCGGAATGGCACCTTAAGCTCAATCACGCCAACCCCAAAACAATTGCGCACATGTCCAAACAC